AGGGCTTTCACTTGGGAAAAAGATCCAGACCCTCACAGCAAAAAAGTTTTGTATTTGGTTGAACACTGAAAGACTTTACTCAAACTGTTTATGTTTGAGTTCCCAGTATTGAGATAAGACATTTTTCTGTAAAAATTGGCTTACTTTCCATTTCCATTTTCCATGGAGGAGACTGAACCTGCCAGTCTGACCCAGCTTCCCTCTTCCCAGGCCAAATGAAGTTCCTGTACGAAGAGGCTCGTTTGTCTGAGCAGGACTCAGGCTCTGTGTACGACAATGGGACTTGGCCCACTGCCTTGTTTGTTATACTCTATGATTGAGATTTGCAAGCTGCCCGATGGAGTCAGATGCTTGGGATATATATGTTTTTTCTGAATGCCAGGGAAGGAGACATGGCAGCAAAGGGATCATTCAGAAGACAGAAATGCATCCTTTGCAATGAATCCTGTTTAATCTCTGGCTTCTGAGCATTTCTTTTATTCCCTTCTGTCCATCTGTAGAGATTTTTTTTATCATAAAGTGGAGGGATGTGGTCTGTACAATTAGAAAAGATTATTTTAAGGTGCGGCACCAAAAAGGAATGCTAGTAGCTTATGGTATTGCAAGTCAGCGCTTACTTCACTGGGGACTGAAGTGGTCATTTCCAGACCATACCCCGCACTGTTATGGAACTAAAAGCACCTGCTATTCAGGATGAATTTTGGATGGCACTGCTGTCTGCCTCTGCCACCCCTGCCTGCCAACCTCTGCTCCTTGACGAGAACATGCCACCAGCCGCAGTCCCCTCAGCTCTGTATAGAAGCCATGGTTTCTCTTGCTGTCACGGGCACGGTTTCCCTCACAGCTGGGGTGGGATCTGCCTTCTGGGCTCTGCGTGAGATGTTTTTCCCGGACTGTGCTGTGGCTAAGCCAGAGAAAAGCCCCTTCCCTCTGCATAGCGGGCCTGATGGGGATTCACGCCCAGTGCCCGGTTTGCAATGCCTAGTGCCAAATCCTACAGCTGCTGCCAAAAAAGCAACGCTGTGCTCCTGGCACACATCTGGCACCTGCAAAGGAGCGATGCAGAGCTGACTGGCTGCAAAGCACTTCCAACCATGCACTGGCAATGCAGCGAGGTAGAAACCCCCTTACAGGCGAGAAATGCACATTTAATTTGGTTCCTGCTGCAGTATGGTTAAGCTGGACCCCAGTTAGGTCTAGAATATCTAATGGCATGCTTTGCTGTTAAATTGGTGGGTGATTAATCTCCATCCATCCATTTGATTAATCTCAAATGGTGTTAATTAATAGCATTAAGTAGTCTGAATAGTAATGGAAAAACATCTGTGAACAAGAAGGATGGAAAGAGAGCAAAGTCTGTTTAACCGCTACGGAATCCAGCAGGTCCCTGTACAGAATCCGACCATATTTTGCAGTGGTGGAGAAGTCAGCCAGGATATGAAGGATAAAACCAGATGTATTAAGATAGGGCAAGTTTTTTTCATGTCAGAAATATGAGGCAGAAAAGTATCAAAAGATTTCCAAGCATCCCAGGTTAAGTCCAGCTTGGCAGACAATACAGAAGAACTTCCCTTCCTCGAAGAAATTAATGAAAGTTAGGAGATGCTGGAGCCCCAGAGAACCAGTGAGGAGAGCCAGCAGCAAATACAAGGAGTGACATTAAGAGGGAACTGACATATCGAATGCACTCCATCAAGTACCTCCCGTTGGGAAAAAGGAAACCTCTGAGGTCTCTGTCCTGCCTCTTTCTTTCTCCGTGGTTTTCTCTGGGGACAGATTTCTTGCACAAGAAAGATCCCGTGCAGGAAGTTACATGAAACAGCTGTGCCACCATTACAAAATATAATACTGCCTAATGCTATTAATAGACGTTCAATGAGCTCTCCAAATAATTTCAAATGCAGCAATTTCACATCATTGAAGACAATTAAATACAGCCTTTGCCTGAGAGCAGGTTATGTCAGGCTGCATCCTAATTCTGTTCTCTGTACTAGGGTAGAGCTGGGATGATGCATTAGGCTGGATTATGCTTCCTGACAGGAAAGTTCAAGTCAATCACTAGGGATTTCTCAAGTGTATTGGCCTGATTCTCAGTCCGTGCCTGCTTTATTCTGTTTAGACATGATTGGACTGCCTAGATTGGTTACAGGACCTAGATATCTGTATTTTTATGGTAATAGATAAATTGCAGCATGAAGCCAAGGTGTCAAATGTCAATACTGCTGGGAAAGGGGATGTGGCTGAGTATAGGTACAGTATAGTCATCCCTGAGGTTGAAATGCCACGTTGAAGCATGAAAAAGTAGTTAAAAGTCGTAACAAGCATCAAAAAGATCCTGAGTAGTCAAGGGACCATGTCAAACTCCAGTCTGAGAATATATTAACACAGGTTTCAGCCATCCTTTATTCATCAGGCTGGAAAAATGAACTGTATTTCTAATCACTCTGAGCCTGCATCTTGTCAGAGCCAGGTGCCCATGCCAGGTCCCCATTCAGCAGCTTTTGTTGCATCGGAGTTACCTTTGCACATCAGTGCCTACCAGGCTGCCAAACTGCAGGGAGAGCTGCACGTGACGGCAAAGTCTAAGGATCTCCCCTGTTGGGTCTCAACAGCTGCTGGGAGAGGGGTAGTTCATCTGTGGGAAGCTCTGGCAAGGATATATTTTATTTCTCTTCATTAAAGCTTTCCATAGAAACCACTGATGTTGTGCTGGAATAGCAAAATCTTGAATCTGTCATTGAAAACCCGGCCTACTTCGGGTATTCAGGGGTTATGCTTTGGAGGGTTGGGGTTTTTTGAAAGCTGTGGTGGAGGGTTCACTGGAAGTGGATGCTTTCTATAAGCATTTTAATTTAGCTAAAACACCTTCATTTAACAAAAGATATCTGTGAGAAGTCTTCAGTTAGTTCAAAAGGAACTGCCTGGGTAAATTTTGAGTCCAGATACTCAACCTACATCAACTTACTTCTCTTAGCTGGAAGTCCTGGAGACACACCAGCAAAACCTGGAGTGACATAAGCTGTCACTAGAATGATGTCTAAGTCACACAAATTTACATTCCCTCTAGGTTCACTGGAACTCAGCAACAAATTTGACCCACTGTACTTTTTTTATCAGCAGCTTTGCAGGATGCCTGGGGAAATTTTTTTAGTCCAGGTGCGCAGTCTATTCATTTAGCTAGATGGTCATGATGAGAAGTTTAATCATCTTTAACATGCCCACGAGGAAAATTATTCTGAACAAGTACAATGCTGGAGGGATTTTTGAATCCCACAACTCTTTGTCTTCAGCCCCAGAAACATGGAATCGGTCTGGTTGAACAGGTACCAAAGCTGGACGTTTATTCATTGCGACATGCATATACAACTGCTGGTGGCGGCAGTAGGCAAATGGCCATGGACCAGGAGGGCAGAAGATGCCCCGTGGAGGTACCCAGCCAACCCACCGCTGCGGGAAGAGTAGGAGCACCATCTCCAGCCATGGTCCCCTCCGTTGTGTAGTGTACTACGAAAGAAACTCAGCTTTGCCCACTTTCCTGCCTCCAAAAATAACATTTCTAACTGTGTTTCTGGCTTTCCTTTTAGGTATGTCTCCATCCACTCTCTGTAGTTTTGTTTCATCTGCTTCTTCAGGCGTTTCTGCAGTAGGAGGGAACCGGAGACCCAGACCCACCACAGTGACCACAGTGCACACAGGGAGCAAGTGAGAGCCGGGGCGGCGAGGAGCGGGCAGGCGGCTGGGCTGGCAGGTTGCCTCTGCGCGATCCCACCCTGCGGTGCACGCTCAGCGAAGGACTAGAAGAAAGAAGATTTTTTTATGGCCATATTTTATACTGCAATTCTGAAATGTTTCATTTATCACAAACTGCAATGACTCCAGGGGGAATGGATCTAACAGTCTCTGGTGCTGTACATATATATATACATATATA